TGCTTGCAGGCCATCCTTTGAGTGTGCTTCCCTGGACCTTCTGGGCATGTCCTGTTTCTTTTGTGCCACCTCCCCACAGCGCTCAGCACAATGTGGGTCAGGGCCACCGCATACAGTTGCATGGGGTATGCCCTGATCAGGGGCGCCTGCAGAGAGGCACGTGTCGGGGCTGAACTTTAGCTCATCTCCACTCACCAAAGCATGCTGCCTCAGGAGTAGGGTGTGTCTTTTTGCCCTCCTACCTGCTGGAAGGTGTGAGGGGGCCCTTTTTTCTTGTTTGCACAAAAGGACCTGACATGTGCTAGTGGAGACCTGATGTAGGTCTCTTAGTAGGTGCTTACTTAGTGCTTGCTGAATGAGTGAACGAATGAACAAACGAACCAATGAAAAAACATAGTGGAAGGCAGGATCAATAAGAGGCTTCCATAGTCATCTAGGTCTAGGTTAATGAGGCCCTAAATAAACTAGGATGTAATCACTATGTTTACGGAAAGGAGGGGATAAACATGAAGAAGAAGCAACAGACTGTGGGTCAGATTAAAGTTGCCAGGATGGCAAAGGAGAGAGGGAATAAAAATGACCTCCTGCCTATAATCACCACTAAACTTGACTCTCCACAAGAAGAATAGGGACAGTGTGGCTGCAGATCCGTCCTTTTTACCCACCTCTCCATCGCTGGCTTTTTTAGGTGATAAGGTAGCAGGAATTCTGTACCTCTTATGTAGGAGGCCCTGTGCTGAACAGTGTGGAGACATAGGCCTTCCCCTTCCTCAGAGGGCTCAAGATCTAGTTGAGGGGCTGGAGACAAGATTCCTGATGCAAGGCTGTGCTGACTAGCATCACAGATGGGGGACAAGTTTCAGATAATCATAGTAACTAAGTGCATGTGCTTTACTGCTTTTGGTAACTTCCTGTATGAGGTGGCTATAGGTTGCTTCTCACCAAAGAGGAAATCAACACTTAGAATGACATGGCAGCTTGCTTCTCATCCCATCTTCTGAATGCCAATCATGGTATTGGGTTAAACCATATAAAATTACCATTTTCGTAGGTCAAAAATGGTTAGATATCCCAAATTGCATATAGTCCATCTTAATACTTTCTACTCTGTTATGCTGCCATTTGAGACCTTTTGAATGGTTTTATTGACTTGTTTTAAGCCAGTTATAAAAGAAATTCTTTTTAAGGAGCTCCTGGCTGGCTCAGCCAGAAGAGCATGTGACTCTTGATCTCGGGGTTGTGAGTTTGAGCCCCACATTGGGTGTAAAGATTACTTAAATAAATAAAACTTTAAAAAAAGGATTTTTTTTTAAAGAGTGATGCTTTTTCTAGTAAATATGCAAAATAGGAAAAAGTGTGCAGAAGCAGAAAAATCTTAACCCCAAATTCTACAGTTCAGGGGCATCCTTAGTAACATTTTGGTGTATTTCCTTTCATATATTTTCCCTTGCATTTTTTACAAAGTTGAGGTGTATTGCATATATAATGTTATATCCTCTATTTCAAAATAACAGTAATTATCTTAACATTAAATATTTTTATAAACATAATTCTTAACAATATCATCATATTCCTTGAATATACTATAATTCATCCTACCGTTGGACCCCTGAAAGTTGTTTTCAGTTTCTTAATATTATACATACCTACTCTTATTTCCAATTATTTTCTTAAGATAGATTCCTGTCTATTAGTTTGTTTCAGCTGCTATAGCAGAATACCATAGACTGGGTGACCTGTAAACAACAGAAATTTATTTCTCACAGTTCTGGAGGCTGGGAAGTCCAAGATCAAGGCTTCAGCAGATTTGGTGTCTGATGAGGACTCACTTTCTGGTTGTAGATGTCAGTCTTTTCACCATGTCCTCACATGGCATAAGGGGGCAGGGAGCTCTCTGAGGCCTTTTTTCTAAGGGCAAACTCCTCAAGACTTAATCACCTCGCAAAGGCCCCACCTCCAAATACACTGGGGACTGTTTCAACATATAAATTTTAGGAAGACACAAACATTCAGTCTATAACAATTTCCAAAAGGAATTTTGTCAAATAACTTGAAATTACTGGGTCAAAAAGTAGGAAACTTTTTAAGTCTTTTGATTTGTATCATCAGTTGCCTTTCCAGAACGCTTCTGCCACCTTGATTAACTCTAGCCTTGATAGCAGAACTTTATCCTCGATAGCAGTTCTTGGCTGGTTCTGGTTTGGTTGTGAGTAATAAATGCTATAAGAGTTTAAAGAGCAAATTTGAAGAATAGTCAAGAAAGTCTCAAGATTCAGGTGGAACTTGAACTGAACTTGAAGGATCCATAATGTTCAAGTAAACTGAGAGGGAAGACTTTTCCATCAGAAGCACAGCAGAAGCAAAGGTGCTCTGGAAACAATGACTATGGCATGTAGTAGAGATGGTCAAAATCTAAGTTTCCTAAGGTAGATACTTACTGAATGGGAATAATGGGATATAAATTGAGAAAAGGAATATCAGCTGAGAGTGAACTTAATCCTGTAGGTAGTGAGCTGTTGACAGATTTTGAGCAGGGGAAGATATGAGCAAAATAATGTTTTAATGATTGTAGAAGACTGGGAAACCAGAAACATTATTAACAGTGGCAGATTTTTTTAAAGTGATCATCTGTCTTAAAGTTATACTTCATATAAATGTGCTAGGAATGATTTGCTCTAGTGCTTAGCATATGATGGTGGTATAATTTACAACATGAGCTATGTCTGGGAGCTCAAGCTTGAGATTCAAATAGTGTAGCTTGGAGACCACAGTGGCTGGATCCAAAATGGTGGTCAGAAGCTATTTCACATGGAGGAAATCTCAGTTTTCATGAAGTGAAGGTCAGATGCCAGTGAACAGAGATGTCCAGATATTTACTCTCTCAGGTGAAGTGAGAGGTATAGTAAGGTCTTTCCACTAGAGCTGTTCTCAATCCTCTCTTTGGGTTTTACACGTGCAGTTACAACAAATTCTGATGAAAAGTAATTACCCCAAGCATTTCCTGGTAAATAAGATTTCATCTCTTTTAATTGCATTTTTACCAATTTTAAGGAAATGAATATGTTACAAATTTTGGTTTCCAGTGTAAGTAAAAAGTGATTGTTGCTGTTAATCATTGTATTTTCTTCCTTTTTAAAGATAAACCAGATATTTTCAGTCAATGCAAAACAATGACAGATATTTCAGTTATTCTTCAATTAGCTGGTCATAATATATATTTTTTCATAATATATTTTATATTAAAATGTCTTATATAACATGTATACTTTTTTTAAGATTTTACATATTTCAGAGAGAGAGAGAGAGAGAAAGGGCGTGCAGGAGGGGCAGAGGGATTGGGAGAGAGAGAATCCCAAGCAGACTTCCCACTGAGCATGGAGCGCAATTTGGGGCTCAGTCTCACAACCCTGAGATCATGGCCTGAGCCAAAACCAAGAGTTAGATGCCCAACCAGCTGAGCCACCCAGGTGCCCCAGTCTTAAAATCTATCTGTAGCTCACCATACCTCATATAGCACAGTGCTTATAGTGTGGAAAAATAAGACTCAGACTCAAGTTTTATAGTGTATTAAGGTTGGCTACAGGAAGGAATGAGGGGGCCACACACAACACTGGTAGGCCACCAAAGAGTGAATCATTTTCCTTGAGATTCATTGTCACAAGGCATACTGTTCATGGCAAAATGTTACAACCGTGCAAAATATTTGATGGCATTAATGTGGAATAACTTCCAAAAAGGGCTTTCATGAAAAGTGCAGCTGATATATTTTTGTAAAGGATGATGTTGTTTACTCAGGGCAGAGTAAAACATTAGGGTGTTTCTGACTTGCCATGGCTTTAACCTTTCCTTAACTGGTCTCTTCATGACATATAGTTTGTCTGTTATGCGAGGGCTGGCTTCACAGATACGTGACCTGGACTGTCACACATGGCTCTGTGCTTAGAAGGGTCTGGTGCTTGGTTTGATGTTCTTCTGTCACCATTTTTAAATTCCTAATAAATTTTGAACAAGGATCTATATATCTTACTCTGGGCCCACAAATTATGTAGCTGGTCCTGATCTCACCCTCCTTTACCATATATTATGGGCTAAACCATAGTTTTCCCAGCACCAAATTATGGACCAGGTTAGGAGCGAGGGCTGTAATGAGCCAAACAAGCTTCTGACCAACTCCTCTTACTTCCACAGGAGGCTAAACTGAGTCCAGGAGGGAATGGAAAGAGAGAGCAGGGGTCAGAAAAAGGCAGGGGCTATTAAAAGCTAGTTTCTCCACGAAGAATAACAGCAGTCTGTACTCCTGGTACACCAACCACCACATCTGCCAGGCTCTCACTGAGCATTTCATGTGCCTTCTTTTCTTTTACTGAACCCTCTCAACAACCTGCAAAATTAGTATTATTTTTATCGATGAGGGATCTGAAGTTTTCGGTAATGAGGTTGTTCACAATTCCAGAGCTAGTAGTGATCTTTTCCCATTCGTATTCTTTCTGCTCACTTACAAAGTAGCCAACCATCCTTGTCTGTTAATAAAATTGAATTCGAATCACTTATTTGCCTACTTGAGACTCATTGGCAGGGAGAGGGCCATAGACTAATGCTTATATAAGTTGTTTATTTTCTGCTTCTATTGTCATATAATTGTAGATAGTTATTTAGGACCTTCTGGATATAAATTTCTTTTTGTCCATAGATACTATCTGGATAATATATTAATACTGGAAGTGTTTTTCCAAGATGAAATAGGTACACACTCCTTCTTTTGTCTGAAGGTCATCTCAATAAACAGTGCTATATATTTTTTTAAACTTCAGCCAAAATGACGTTTTGTTTCTTGGTTATTTCTGTTATTGTTGTTTTTCTAGTTGTTATATGTGATTGTGATCTGCTGAAATTAAAATAGATTATCATGTTTTCTATTTTAATTTTGCATTAAAATAAGGTTTTTCAAAAATTTATAAATAGATTCTATTCTAGACTAACCCCAATTATGTCTCCTGCAGGAAACCATTTCTGGCAGCTGATGTGCCCAGGCTTGGATATAGTTCGTCATCCAATCACAGGTACATTCCCCGGAGGGCAGTGCTCTATGTACCTGGAAATGATGAAAAGAAAATAAAGAAGATTCCCTCCCTGAATGTAGATTGTGCAGTGCTCGACTGTGAGGATGGTGTGGCTATGAACAAAAAGGTAATAGCATGATTTTTCCTTAGGATGGGAAAAAGAAGTGGATTGATATTTGGTGCTGTCTTGGTAACATTGTTCACTAGTTGAAGACTCCACCATAGTCACCTTTTACTGATTACTAATATATTCTTGACCCAGCCTTCCTATGGGTTCCGAATGTATGTGTCTCTTTTTTCCAAGAGAAAGGAAAAACCAACAAAAATATACTTAAAACCATGACCTTCAGTATATGTGACTATGTGTATATATTAATAAAGAGATAGACACTCAATCCATTTTGGCTATGCAATTTACCAGTTTGGTTAAATGAGTTAATCCAAGAATTGTGGTGTAAATTTTTTAGACCAGTAAGATGCAACTAGGAATTTATTTCTTTTTTTAAGTAGGCTCCATGCTGGAGCCCAATGCAGGACTTCAACTCATGACCCTGAGATCAAGACCTGAGCTGAAACCAAGAGTCAGACGCTCAACTGACTGAGCTACCCAGGCGCCCCAGGAATTTATTTCTTTTTAATATAGAGAAATGGTCTTATCTCTTCTGGAACAAGTGCCAAGAAAATAAAAGATAGATTTCTACAAATAAGTCACCATTGTTCCTACTTAGTTTAAGGGAAACTACCTGCAGAACCTTAGGGTTGCAGCTTTTGGCTGATTTCCTCATGGCCTGACCAGAGAACTGAGCCTTAAAAAATATCTCATTGCAAACAGGTACAAGAGGTTCTTACTGGGTGATGGCATAATGGTTGCTTTTTGTTTCATTTGGTTTGGTTAACTTCATTTTCCAGGTTTTTATAATGAAGATGTATTTGTTCAGTAATTAGGTGTAAATCATTATAACAATAATTTATGTTTGCATGGAACTTTGTAAGTTAGAAACATGTTTTTACTTGACCTTTCTCTATCTACTACCTAGACAGTGAGGTTGTCTGGGAATAGATTGTAGGGCTGGGGGACAGAGGGAGCTGACCATGTGGATTTATGCCTATCTGGACACTTCCTTCTCTTAAGTGATCTGAAATAGCATGGCCGTACTGTACAGCTTTCTTGATTAATTGCTTTCCTTGGAGAGTCTAGCAAACAAATATTTGCCTTAATTAAAAAAGAAAAAGTTAACTTCCAGCGTCTTCCTAATGGTCAAATCAAGACTTTCCAAGTATTTGGAAAAGGATTAGAATAAGCATATGGAATCTAAAGCGTCTCCTCGACATCTTTGGCATGCCCCAAGGAAAATGCAATTAATCTTCTTTTTCCCAGAGATTAAGGTAAATAGACCTTTTCTTGAAGGATATAATGTGCTTCCAGTATGCTCCCTTCCAAAACTCATGTAGTGTACTCTAAGATTAGATTCTAAATTGTAATTTCAGTTCTTTGTGACCCAGGGCAATTCACTTTACTTCTTTGCCTCAATTTCTTATCTGTACTGTGGGATGACAAAATCTTCTTTTGTCAGGGACAGGGATTATTATGAGGAAAAAGTTTGGTAAAATGCCTAGGAGTAGCTTGATTTCCTATAGGAAATAGATTAGATAAATCCTGTAGTAATCATGATTAGAGGGGAATTTATTTTAGCATGTAGCACAGTGAGCCATTAGGTAAACTTCTGATAAACTTCTAATTATATTTCTTCACAAATCTTGAGGCTACCTTCCCATATCCACCAGACGATGTTTCCTGCCACCCAGATAAGTTGGAAATACGGTCCATTCTCACCTCACATTTCCTTACTGCTCATCTGTGTTCTTAAGCTCATCCTTCTACCCAGAGCCTCTACTTACAAGGAAGCTAAGGAAGGGAAGGGGAAGGAAGAATTCATGATGGGCCAGCTGTGCCCACCACCTTTGCATTTATATCCAGACAGTGTCTTCATCAGGACACTCCAGTTCTCTTAATGCAGTTAAACTTTCCATTAATTGCTGGGCCTGTAAAAAATTTTTTCTTAAAATCTCTATCCAGTACTTAATTTTATCTCATATATTTTATTTCATAGCCCTTACCTATCAAGGTCTTTTTGGATTTTGATTTCATCATTCATCATTTATAGCATTTGAGAATTTGGCCAGCATATCATATGAAAATTTAACAAGTTTCTGATGGAAATGTTGGAAGAGGTTGGAGCCAAGTAATGCACAAGCATGCAACTAGAAGCTTCTGTTCATGTTATATTTGTATAGTGGTGACTAAATGCCAGGCACTGTTCTACGGGCTTTAATTTGCATAACAACCCAGTGAGGTACTACTATGACACTGTTTCTACAGATAGAAGCTGAAGCGTGGAGAGGTCAATTTCGTGAATCAATACTGTGAGTATGGTTATTCAGTCACCTAACACTCCTAAAATCCAATGTTTTCATAAGGATATTACAACAGATTTTTATCTAATGCCATTTCAAAATAAAGATACCATCCCAATTTACCTGCCTAGAAATACCTTCTCCCCCTGCACTTACACCTTGCTAGAAAAACGAGGTTAAGCAGATGAGACTTGATCTTGAAGAACCCATATCAGTACCTAGTTATTCACATCTTCATTTTGAAGTGCTGGAGATAGAAAAATAGTAACAGGGGGCGCCTGGGTGGCTCAGTCGTTAAGCGTCTGCCTTCGGCTCAGGTCATGATCCCAGGGTCCTGGGATCAAGCCCCGCATCGGGCTCCCTGCTCGGCGGGAAGCCTGCTTCTCCCTCTCCCACTCCCCCTGCTTGTGTTCCGTCTCTCTCTGTGCCTCTCTCTGTCAAGTAAATAAATAAAATCTTTTAAAAAATAAATTTAAAAAGAAAGAAAAATAGTAACAGCTACCATTTACCAAGAGTTTTCTATGTAGGAGGTGCTGTATTAAATGCTTTTTATATATTATCTCATTTAATACTCACAGCAGTTTTGAGATGTGTCCAAGGTCACAGTGCCATTAAATATAGAACCAAGATTTGAATCTCCTAGAATTTTTGCCAGGAGTCAGCCTCAGTCAAGTTCACCTGTCTGCATAATCCCATAATTAAACATTTCCCCCTTTCTTGGCAAGTTTGTACCTTGGCTTCTCTTTATCTTTTGTCACCTTTGTGTACTCATGGTTTCTCAAAGATAACTGATGGGAGCTCTGTGTTCACCTCGGCAGATTCTTTTAGTGTCCTGGGATTGTAATCTGTTTAGACCTAGGGACTTCAATTCATTTGAAATGTCCAGATACATCTGAAACTTCTCACATGTTGCACATATATTCTCTTTTTCTTTGTTGAAGTCTCCTTTTCATCGTATTTCTTATTGGATTATTAGCCTCCTTGATGAACAAAATGGAGTAGAGACCATTTTTAAGGAGTTTATTTCTTAAGAAGAAATCCATATTAAAACTCATTTCAGATGTTCTAATTATAGTTTTGCTAAACTGAACTATTATTGTCTAATCAACTTCCTTGGTACTATTGGTACTAAATTGGTACTACTACCACTTCCTTGGTCCTAAAACTAAAGTTGCTTCATTTTGTATCTCATTTTATTTCTTTTTTGTTAGTAGACTAATTCAGTATTTCATTTGCTTGACACTGTGGAGTATGGGCTTGTAATGAAGACAATAGTAGTTTCCACAGAGCAGTTTGTAAGTGTATAATACCTTCCAGCAGGCTCCAATGCTGTCCTGCTAATCTAATTTGTGTTTAAGTAGCTCCTTCATGTCAAGGACGGCACTACCAGCTCACCTTCCCAAGTATGGATGATAAAAAGACTGTCTCCACTCCCCTCTTATCTTTTTCTTTTCGTTGTTAAATGCATGAGGAGATACAGGACTGCATAAGCCACTGCTTGCTGGGATACAGTGAAAATAAGCCAAGTAATGCACAGATTTCTGGTGAATCTCCATGATACTTGGGTGAGGCCAAGATGGTAGGAATGGAATAGAGACAGGATTCCAGGGCTGCTATTTTAGTTGAGTAAAATTTAAGTAAACATTTAAATGTATTTAATATTTAAGCTTAAATATGTAAATTTAGGCACTCAATATCCAAATAAATATTGAGTAGCTACTCAACCAGGCACTGTGGCAAGAAGGAGGGAAAAACAGATGCTTGCATGGTCCCCACTGTGGAGGACTCAAAGGCTGGTGATGAGACAGGGAAAAAGTAAAAAATTATAATCTAAACAGATAGGTCTATAAGAACATGTATTTTTTATTCTCATTTGGTTCTAAGTATTTTTTTTTAAAGATCGATTTATTTATTTGAGAGAGGGAGCAAGTGCGTGCATGCATGAATTGGGGGAAGGGCATGGGGAGAGGGAAAGGGAGAATCCCAGCCAGACTCTCTAATGAGTAAGGAGCCTGATGAGGAGGGTAGGGGCGGCTCCATCTCACAACCCATGAGATCATGACCTGAGTCAAAATCACAAGTCGGATGCTTAACTGACTGAGCCACCCAGGTGCCCTGCTTCTGAGTATTTTTTAATTCCCATTTTGATCTCTTGCTTGATCCAGGAGCTACTAAAGAGTGTGTCCCAAACTCTCTGTGGTAAAGAACCAATTTGGTTATTTTTATTTGTTGTTACTTTCTTTTGTTTTTTAAACATTTCTAATCTATTGTTGACTGATACTTTTATAAAATACAAAAAAAAAGAATTGCTAGAAAAATTAAATGCTGCTTGGGTGTCAAAACAATGTCAAGTACTATAGAAGTTTCTAAATTTATACCCCCCTTTCCTATGTACCTCCTATTGTCATTGTCATGGTCAGAGTTTGTGGACCAAGAATGGTCCACAGACCACAGTTTGAGTAGTAGGGACTTAGAATTTTTAAATTTTCAAGCATATGAGAGATTTCTTTTTTATTCTTTTATTGCTGACCTCTAGCTTGCTTGAATGATGGTTAGAGAATGTGATCTGAATAATGCTGATTTTTAGAAATGTGTTGAGTTCTGCTTTACCTGAGCCATCTTTGTAAATGTTTCATGTGTGCTTAAGAAGAATGTGTAGTTTCTGTTTACTAGACCAGAGTTCTGTATATTTTTCCATTAGACCAAACTTGT